AGCTAATTCTTTTTTTATTAGAAGGCGCAATACTAGGCGCTTCTATTAAATAATAGATTATGTAAGCGTATCTCTGCTAGTTAAGAAGCTATAAGCCAAAACGTAAAAAAGCATACCCTACCCATCCGCCAGCCTAGCTAGCACCTCTAAATCCTCCCTAGATATTACTCTCTGTAATTAAGGCGTTAAAAGCTGCTTTAAAGCATAGCAAGAACTCAAGTTTAGTGATACGCGTAATCTTGCTGCGCATTAGCTACTTAGCTTGGCAGCTATAGGCCTTCTTTAACAGAGGAAAACAGCCTATATTAAGTAGCTGTAGTAGGTGTAAAAATTGTGGAGGTATATACAGGGTAATAATCTCGTGTTCCTCACAGTACTAGTAGAATTTAGCTAAGTTGTGGCTCTTATAGCTGTCTAGAATAAGCAGCTAATAGCTGCCAACAGTGCGCGCCTTTATATACTTATTAAAGTGCTTTAACTACTTAACTCTAAGCTTGTTATTAGTCTAGCTATTATTAGAGACATTAAGAACCTAGTTGTTAGGTATACTAGGATCCTTGTACTAGGCAGAGAGGTAGTGCTTACTAGAGAAGATAATAAAGGGTAGGATAGACTAGCCCTTCGCGCAGATGCCTTAGATAATGCTAGTCTACTCTTAGTTGCCCTGCTGCACTGCCTTTAGTCTCCCTTAACGCTTAGAGCCTGTAACAACAGCTCCTATTAATATAATGCCTATTATAAAGCTAGATTTATTAAAGTTGTAGGTGTCTTTATCTTATATACTATACTTAGCTTTAGTATTCTCTACTAGTTAGAACTAGTCCCTAATTGCCTTAGGATCCTTACACAGAGCTCTCTTATAGTTATACTTATAATTAAATTTAACTTTAAGCTCTAGCTAACATTTAATAAAGTTGGTAGCCTAGTTCTTGCTAACGTAGGGCTGGTGGCGCTCAGCAAGCAGAGAATTGGCTATATTGTCTACATCAGCAAGCTAGGGCGAGTATCCTCGCTCGTCTAGCCTCAACACGTGCTAGATAATTACCTCCTCTTTGTTCTTTGTAAGATTTATAGTATTAGGTGTGTAGTTATAGTATAGGGTGGCTCTAGTAAGTTAGTCACTAAGCGTGCTTTAAGAGATGTTATAGATTGCTGCAGCGCGTTGCTAAGAGAGCGTCGCGTCTTGTTAGATAGCCTGGAGAGCAAGCTGTATGTCTGCTTCATTAGAGAGCTTTTTCATGTTGCTGCGTTAAGACATTGTTAGTAGAGTGAAGTTTGGTGTGGTCTTGGCAAAAGTGACTGGTACGCTTGGGTGACCGGCATGCTTGTGGAGTACGTTACTTGCATTAATACCTCCAAAGTTGTGAAGAGTTAGACATTTACTAGCGCTACAACTAAACAAATGCTTAGTGACCCTAAATTAAGACAACTTGTGAAGTGCAAAGTAGGTGTATCGATTCAAAGTATCATTATGGGAATCTAGCGACCCAAAAAAAACCGCCAAACGCCTATTCAATGCCTCCACGACCCATTCAGACTCTACCACTCGATACCCCTCGACCCCCTCTCCCCACCAGCAAGAATCTTGTTCGCCTTGCCCACCTCACCAAGCCCGTTTTCCAGGTGACTAATCTGCACACCCTTCCTGCCCTTTAGCTTCATCCTCTCCAGCTTCTGATCGAGCTTGACAAACGGATCCTCCGTCTCGCTCTTCTTAATCACAAACTTGCTCGTCCCCAGCACACTGTCCAGCTCCTCGACGCTCGGCAGCTTGACATACAGCCAGCCGTCGCCCCTCTCCTCGACGGGGAACGTCGCGATGTTGACATCCTCGTCGTTGGCGCAGCGCCCGGCTTGCTCGCCCGAGAGCTCGAAGTTGCGCTTGTGGTTCGGACACGAGACCCAGAGTTTGTTGTTCTGAATGTCGTCGCCGATCAGACCGTCGCTGAGCACGAAGGCCCGCTTGTGCGGACACATCTGCTGTGTGCAGTAAAACTTACCTCGTACCTTGAAGAGGGCGAGTTGTGTGTCGCCACGCTTTAGGGCCTTGGAGTCGCCGGTCGGTGTGTCCTTCAGCTCCTCGGCCTTCAGCATGGGCTGCCAGCTGAGCTCTGTCCACTTTGTGCCCTTGAAGTCGGTTGTGACGCTGTCTTTGGGCCAGTAGCTGGGGCGCTCTTGTCCGCGCTCTTGTGTGGGCTCGATGGTGTCGATGATTTGCTCCGAGGTGTTGGCGAATTGGTTGAACCACGCTTTCTTCTCCGGGTCCTTAAGGACTTCGGTCCATTCGCAGAAGAAGCTGCCGACAAGATCTTCCATCTGCTTCTCCAAGTCTGCGCAGATGCCCAGCTTGTCTTCCAGAATAACTTCTTGTAAGTATTTAATACCACCGGGGAGGTTCTCGAGCCAACGCGCCGTGCGCTGGAGTTTGTCGGCTGTGCGAATGTAAAAAGTGAGGTAGCGGTCGAGGATAGGCACGACATCGTCTGGCGGCACGTCTTTGGCGAGGAGCTCTGAGTGACGCGGTTTCGCGCCACCATTACCACCCACGAAGATGTTAAAGCCCTTCTCAGTAGCGATGAGACCAAAGTCCTTATTTTGTGCCTCCGCGCACTCACGCACGCAGCCAGATACGCCGCCCTTGATCTTGTGCGGGCCGCGGATCGACTTGTAGCGCTCTTCCAGACGGACTGCCATGCCGACACTGTCGCCGATACCAAAGCGGCACCATGTAGTTCCGACACATGACTTGACCGTGCGCAGAGACTTGGCGTACGCGTGACCGGACTCCATACCGCCATCAATCAACTCTTCCCAAATGTCAGGCAGATCCTGCTTCCTGGCACCGAACATATCTATACGCTGGCCACCAGTGATCTTCGTGTAGAGGTTGTACTTCCTCGCCACTGTGCCGATGACAATGAGCTTGTTGGGTGTAATCTCGCCACCAGAAACTCGAGGGACGACCGAGAAAGTGCCGTTGCGTTGGATGTTGGCCAGAAATCTGTCGTTGGTCTCTTGCAGACCTCGCCTCTCAACATTGAGCAAGTGCTTGTTGAAAAGTGATGCGATGATGCTTCCGATGGCAGGCTTGCACGCCTCGCAACCAGCAGACTCCGGCTCACGACCGCATTCCCTCATCACGGCGTCGAAGTCCTTCAGGTTCTTGACGTAAATGATGTTGAAAAGGTCCGCGCGCGAGTATTCGAAGTGTGGGCACAGGTGGTTCTTGACTTCGTTGCCCATGGATGCCATTGTCTTGTTGAAAATGGTCTGCACGAGTGGCATGCAGCCACCGCATCCAGTACCAGCTTTTGTGCAAGACTTGACATCGCCGATCGACTTGCATGTTCCATCCTTGACGGCGTTGGCAACGTCGTCCTTGGTAACATTGTGGCAGGAGCAGATCTGTGTATCACCGGAAAGATCGGAGCCATCGTCTTCGCCGCCCTTAGATGCGCCAATGATAAGCTCAGCTGGCGGGACCTCCAGGTATTTCTGGTTCTTGACCATTGGCACCAGCTTGATGTAGTCCTTGGTGTCGCCAATCATCATGCCTCCAAGCAGGTACTTGCCGTCCATGGTGAACAGGTACTTCTTGTACACTTGCTGAAATGGATCCTTGTAAGTCAAAGCCTTGACTGGCGGTGCAGCAGGCCCGCTCGTGAGGTTCTTAACCTTGTCCACCTCCTTCTTCTCCGGCTTCTGGTGTCCAGGCATATCCCTGGGGCCATCGCGATCTGCAAAGAAGTCGCCAAAACTCGCAACCTCGACGCCAAGCAGCTTGAGCTTGGTGCTCAGATCTGGCCGCTTGAACTGACGTGGCGCATGTGCTTTCGCTTGTGTGAGGTTGAATGCTAGTACATCCGCCATCTCGACGCCAGGAGCGATGAGACCGAACGTCTGGTTCTCCCAGCTTGCGCACTCGCCGATGGCGTAGATGTCCGGCGTTGAAGTAGACAAATTGTTGTTGACGATGATACCGCCACCGCGATCTGCGCACTTGATGGATGCCTTGCGCGCAAGCTCGTCGCGTGCTTTGATACCAATCGCAAAGCAGATGCACGAGCATTCCATCTCTTCTCCATCCTCGAACACAACACCACGAACAGCATTCTTCTCGTTAGTCAAGATCTTGCCAACTCGCTTGCTCAGCATGACATCCAGGCCCATCGCGCGAACCTGCTCAACGACCATAGATCCCGCATCACCATCCAGCTGCCGCGACAGCACCCATCGGTTTCGCTCAATCAGCTTGACCTGTGCGAAGTTCTCGAGATCCATCATCGCGTGCGCAGCTTCGAGGCCGAGCAGACCACCTCCGACAACGGCACCTCTCGTGCCCTTGCGTGTTGCTGAGAACTCGATCAAGCGCTGCAAGTCATCGATGGTACGGTACACAAATACACCTTCCGCATCGTGTCCGGGTGTGTGGCGGGGAAGTAGCGCGTCCGATCCTGTTGCAAGGACGAGGAGATCGTAGGGCACTGTTTCGCCGGACGATGTCTTGACGTTTTTGTTGGCAGAGTCGATCTCAGTCACGAGGGTGTTGAGGTGGTAGTTCAATGAGCCTTCCGGCATGGACGAGTACCATTCTTTGGGGTTCAAGTACAGGTTTTCGACCTGTCGGTGTTGGAAGAAGCTCGTTAACCCGACACGGTTATACGCCAGATGCGGTTCCTCGCCAATGACGACGATGTCGTATTCTCTCCGCTTGACATCGTACTTCATGAGCTTCTCACTGTTCTTCGTTAGTCCCATCCAACAAACTTGGGTAGCTTTTAGCGCTCACATGAATGCAATGCCAACCATGCCCAATCCCACAACCACAACCTTCTTCCTTGCCCACTGTGGTGTGTCATTGACCTTGCCCTTCTTCTCCAAGTCCGCTACCGTCTCAGGCAGCTTATTCGCCTCGGGATCGTTCCACTCGGCGTTCGAAATATTGCCGTCTTTCGATCCCCATGTGCCATGGACAGGCGATCCCGGTTCTGAGTGTTCCGAATGTGATGTTCCGGACTTGGGGTCGAGGCCCTGTGTGATGATCGCCGCTGATTCCGTCTCCGCCATCTCGGCTGTTGTGAGTGTATAAGCTCTACTGAGCCGGGTATTTCAAGTCTCCAGGACCAAGCCTAGGTTGAGGTAAATCTCAGGTGCGTTTGTTAAGCACAAAATATGTGGTATATTTGCATTCAATGTGGGTATCGAAACACGACTTCGGTATATGGTGGAAGGGAGGATGAATGGAAAGTAAGAAGAAAGCTTGAGGTCGAGAGATGTGGAGAGATAGTGAAGAGCGTAGCGTAGCGAAGAGCGTACGATAGTACCTCTAGAACCAGGCGATACAATAGTAAGAGCAATAACGTGATAGGCCACGAGGCATTTGATACTCAGCGCAAGACAACTCCGTGGCACGAATCCGCCCGCAGATCCCCCTACCTTCAACAACGCGATGTCCCGCGGCGCCACAAGCGTCCTGGAGATAGACCGCGAACATAGCTGACTACAGTTTCTATCTGCCAATCAGATGTCATCAAGAAATACCCCGCGGCGGGCGTCGGAAATGTAGAGTAGAGCGGGTGATTGCATTTTCTAGCCGCTCCATGGCAGTGGGATAGGAAGCCGTCGTCAGAGGCGTGATACCAGGATTGGCACGGCCGAATGAAAAGCACGACAATTGCGATTGCACGCTTGGAACCGACGACCGTTCTTCCACGGAGACGCAGCATTAAGGGACGAAACCAGTGCGCTGATAGTGGTGGAGCGTGCACGGACGTTTCTTCTGATAAGAACGCGAGGCTTTGGTGGAGCTAAGAGCGCGGGTCGCAGAACGTCCTGATAAGACCAACATCGCGGAGATGTGGGATGATGTTACCAAGACTCCGGTGGATGTCATTGTTGCGTTTAGTTGCAGGAGATCGAGATGCGACAGCCAGCAGACGATGGGCGCTGTTCACGATGTTGATGAAGGAGGGGAATTTAGCAGTTTTGGCCCTGGAGCTGCATCCATTGGCGCTAACCGAGTTGGGATCGCTGACCAGGTGCAATCGAATGCTTGGAGAAAGCATAATAGAAGAGAGGTTTCGAACTATCCACTCGTAAAGGACCGAGACATCAACGAGATTTGACTTTGATGAGCGGACACTCACTGAGGGTGGAGGGACCAATAATATACCACACATCTTAGAGTAATTGTATCGAATCGAGCAAACGAAAGGCAGCACAGCGCCAAAGCTGTGGCACGACATTGATCAATATGCACCTTTGCTACGAACCACCGAAAAACTGAGTCCAGTTCCATCCAACTAGGTCGTCGCCCAAAACGCCAATCCGAAATATCCAACTCGCATCATGCGCACCTCTAGAGGTTAAAGGCGTCCGAAAAGCACAATCTCAGAGAACGCTTCTAGAAGAACAACAAATCCTCCTCCGCCCACCCAGTCCCCAGCAGCCAGCTCTTGACACTCTTTTCCAACGCCTCGGGTCCACAAACCAGCACCATCGTGCCCTCATCCCTCTGACAATGCTTCTCAAGTAGCGGCCCGGCAATGCGTCCCCGCAGACCCGTCCAATCCTCCGGGCCCTGCGTGAGCGTATACAAGATGCTCAGCCTATCCTCATTTTGCTGCTGCCAGGTATCCAAGTCTTCCTTGCATAGGATGTCCTCGATGAAGCGGTTGCCGTTGAGCAGCGTGCAATGCGTGCGATCCTGCTTATCCTTCATGACCGTGCGGAGCACCTGGAAAATAGGCGTAATCCCGCTCCCGCCGCACACCATGATGAACCTCCGCACAGTCCGAGGTTTGCTGTTGATCACACACTTCCCCTGGCCCAGATACTCGAATTTGCCAATCGGGCCCTTGACATCGACCCAATGGCCCGTGGGAATACTGTCCAGTGCCTTCGTCATGCGGCCGCCCTCTTGCGCCGGTCGGTCTGGCGTCGCGGGCACGTCGGGGTAGATCTTGATCAGCACATCCAGGTAGCCTTTCTTGCTGGTCTCAGACAGAGGCGTGTAGGACCGAATGATTGCTTCGCGCGTCACGGGGTCGCGTAGTCGCAACATCAGGTGCTGGCCTGTCGGCAGGCCGAGCGCCTGTGTGTCGAAGTCGAGTTTGAAGGTGAAGATGCGGCAGTCACTTGAGACGGTGCGTTTGGACTGCAGCAGGGCTTTTTGCCACACGCGGGCATCGAGGAACACGGGGCGGGGCAAGGAGGACTCGGGTATGGGCTCGCCAGCTTGCAGGGTTTTAAAAGCGGAGGGGGATAGAGTGCCGATGTGGTATTCGGGCATCATAGCTTTTGCCGTTTCGCTGTGGATCGCCATGAACTCGTCTGTTGCGTCGAGCGCGGCGGCGCTGATGATGGATTGTGCGCCGCCGGGATGACCTTCGAGGAAGGGAGTGCCGTCGTAGACCTCGCCGTTGACGACGAACCACGGTGCTTCGGGGCTTTCGTGGGCTTTGAGTTCATCGAGCTCGATGGTCTTGTCCACGTCGTCTTTGGTCATTTTAATCTCCTTGACCTCCTCGATGGCTGCAGATTGCGGCTCCTCACCGGCCACGGTCTCGCCCCAGTTTCCATTCGTAAGGTTGCCGCCCGCTTTCTTGACGCGCTCCATCCAGCCGCCGGGCATCAGTGCGGGTTGAGTAGGGTGCTCGAAACGTAGAGTGCCATGCGAGTTGTGAATGGCGATGCGGTACCAGGGGTTATTCATCATTCCGAGAACACTCCAGTACATGTCACGGGGCATGATGCACATAGCTTCGTCCATGGCGCGCACGAGGATGTCGCTGGCATCTGCAAGCTCGGAGGTGGCGATGTCAAGATTCCAGAAACACCAGCAGAAGCTTGTCTCGCGCCAGTCCATGTCGAGTCGTCCACCGAATAGGGTCTTGTCTTCGTATGCGCGGTATCGGTCCTCTGCGTAGTCAATGTTGGCCAGGCGCCATGTCTTGCCTTTGTCCAGGGATAATTCGCAGCGAGTGACTCGGCGTCCGCCACCGCTGTATGCGTATCCGCGGACATTGTAAGTTTCTGAGGCTGATGCTATGTCTAGTTTCTCCTCGTGCGCAGGGAAGGCAGTTGCGGCGTTGGGTGACAGGTCGTAAATCGCATAGCGTTCATCCATCCACCACTTCGGATTCTTAGCCGACTCGTCTGGGTCGACCATGGTCGGCAGAACTCTGTTGTCGTAGATGTGGTACCAATTGTCGCTCGGCTCAGCCGTAACGATAAGTCTCTTGATCCACTTGACACTTCGTCCGCCAATTTGACCAGGGATGACTGCGCGCAGAGGCTTTCCATGATCCGGTGTTAGAGGCTCGCCGTTCATCTTGTGAGCGAGCATGATAGCCCTGTTAGGATCCATAACCCAGTTCAGCTTCACAGATGTGCCATAGTAACCGTTGGGCTATGTTATTGTAAGTCGGCGTGTTGATATAGTAGGTGAACCACTTACGAGCTTATCTGCACCCTCCATGCAAACGTACTTTGCCTTGCGAAGAGGCTTTGCACGCTCGATGATATCCTTCATGACAACACCTGTGAACAGTGCTGTCGACACACCAGCTGCACCCCATGAGAAACCCTTACTTTTCCTGACTTGGTTCTGCTCTTTTCGCCTGTTACCTGCACAGACGAGTGTGATGGGATATGTTACGTTCTCATACTCTTGTAGTAGATCACGCAATGTGATCTTCAAGGGATTCTGAACAAGACTGAATCTATGTTAGTTATTGTCGTTAGGATCTGCTCTCTTAGCGTACCCTTCGACCGAGAATTCCCAGTCCAGGCATTCCGAGTCCTGGACTTCGGGTACCGCACCATGATTTCGAACGTAAAAGAGGTCCGGACTTGTCAAGAAGCCCTCATTGTAAAGTTCGCTAAGTGGTCCCTCGCAGTTGAAGGGATGAACACCCGTCAGACGGATCAGTCTTGAGTCTCTGGGGACATGTGCATCGGGTGTTGGCTTATCGACATCCAAGACTTGCTGTTCTTGTGATCGTGGAGGTAGCGGGACGTCAAGCTCCGTTGGCACTGTTGATGTTGTGGATTTGCTATCGTCACTGTCGAAGTCTGTCTCTGGCGGTGTTGGTGGTAGTTGTTGTACTGGCGCAGCCGCTGCCTGTGCTTTTGGTTGGACTTCTGTTGCAGGAGGTAGAGGCGCACCCGCGTTTCGCGCTGCTTTGCTCATGATGTACTAAGATGAATGGGGGGATAGGATAAAGATTGGTATAGGGCGGAAAATCAAGCAGGAAGCACGCAATGGGTGTGTGGTACACAAGAACAACGTCTGTAGATAGCTGCTTGTGAGACCTTGCACCGACACTGGGGAAGAGACAAGGGCAAGAATAGAGAATCTATGTCGAATAGGATAGAGGCAAATGTAACCGATGGCACTGGAACGAATTCTATGGAGATAGCAGTGCATAACCTAGTCAGACCGTCCTACCGTAGACACACCGGTGTTCGTAATTTTCCAAACCTTTCCTGTGGCACCCGAGATCGCGGAGAAGCCACAAATGATTTCGAAATCGCGGAGACGCACAGTCCGTGGGAACAAATCGAATTGTCAAATCCCGCATGCCGTCATTGTATAGATAGCAAAGGCCTGGAGAAGCGCAATGGACATGTATCCTTATCTTTGGGACCGTTCCAGGCTTAGTGCCCGGGTGTGTGGCGAGCGCCCCCGGTCTTGCGAATGCGGCTAAACAGCGTTCCTGGCGCCTCAACTTCACACCATGTGGGGGTGGGATTTCGAATGAAATTCTCCAGATGCTCAGCGGAGATACTTGGATTGCAAATTTCCATCCACCAAGTATCGCGCGAAGCAGGCCGGCTTTCGAAGCTCCCTCACGGCTCCCAGGACCTTACACTTGACGGTGTGCTAAGCGCTTCTAGTGCGAAACGATTACGCAACTTCCGTCTTGTCTTTGTAGTTGATGATTTGTCGCGCTTGTTATGACAGCTGGGGAGCTTTGAAACTGCGTGATGCTACGGAGAAGCAATTGGTATGGTCTGCTCAAGACAAGGCTGCGCACGGTTTTGATGTTTCTCCGCGGGTGTCTGCGGGCACCACCAACAAGAAACAAGCGCCGACTGGTAGCCTCACCACACCGGATCGTCGTAGATCGGAGTGTCATAATCAACAACGCAAGGATGACGTTGAACTTTTTTGACCTCGTCCTTTCCGGACACGCTCAGCAGGTTGTCAGGAGCCCAAGCCGCACGCTGCGCGCAAGGAGCTGACATTCTCACAACACGTCCTGGATATAGGCAATCGCACCTGCGATGCCGCGCGCAGCGGAGCTGGTTCGGCAACGCCTCATATGTTTGACAACGGTCCTACCTGGACCTGACCAGAGAGTTTCTCGTGCAAGGTTTGAGCACGTTGCTTAGTCCGCATCTCGCCTCGCATTTTGGACGAAGCCCTGGCATAGCGGCCTTTCACGCCATGCTTGAGTCTGGTGATCATATCGCCTGCCTTGCCTTTGGTCAGGTCTGACGGTTTCAGCTGATCCTCCTTGGGTCGTCCCTTGTTCACGAAATCAACCTGGGCTTGTGAGGCCGGGCTCTTACGCCATGGCATTTTCCATGCGATCCAAATGTGCTCGAATACGTCTTTGGCAAAGGTGTCTGCAGCATGCACGACATGCTCGAAAGACTCGCCCTCCGCGATGGTCCGCGGAACTGCATAAGGGCTTTTGATGGTCTCAATTCGAGGCAGCTTGCGGTAAAACTTGGCTCGGAAGCAGCCTTCAGCTGTGTCAGAAGGCTCAATGAGAATGTAGTTGCCGCTGTTGGTGGTGAGGATGAACTTTCCTTCGCCAGCACCAACCCAGGCGTATTGACTTATTTTGCGAATGTACTGATCGCCCGACGTACCAGCGATGAGATCGTAGACAGAGTCATAGTCTGTGAAGGTAATTGCGCCAGGTAGTTTCTGAGAGAGAGTCCGGTGCTTCAGAGCAGCGGCTTCCTCCTGACGCAGTTTTTCAGTTTCCTTCCTCTCCTTCATCTCGTTCATAGCCTTTGTGTCCGCTTTCTCGACAATCTCGCCAGGGTCAAGTCCAAACAGGGTAGGCGTAGAAACTACGCCAGTGCTTAGCGCAGCAACCAGGTCGATGATGTGACAGTTCTGTTTCCCCTTGTGCAGACGCATACCTCGTCCAATCATCTGCACGAGCAGATTGCGTGACTTGGTCGGACGCGCAAGGAGCACGCAGTCGATATTTGGAATGTCAGTACCCTCAGTGAATACACCGCAGTTGAGCAAGACAGGAAAGTCGCCGTTTCGGAACGAGTCTACCCTGGCGCTGCGGATCTTTGGCGGCGTGTCGCCAGTCACGAACTGTGCGTCGATGCCATATTCCCGGAACTTAGTCGTCAAATTAGTGACATGGCTTAGATCGACGCAGAATATGAGCGTCGATTTGCGGCCCTTTGCCTTGGTGGACCAAGCTTTTACGACAAGCTCATTCGTCTCAGTTGTGTTGATCACCTTGGATAGAGCAGCAGTCTGGAAGTCGCCGTTGGCACCAGAACCGACTTTGGTCAGGTCAGCTTTCATCTCGACCGTGGTGAAGACGACGTCGGATAGCCAGTTCTCTTCAATCATGTCAACATAGTCACTGTGTATGTCAGTATTCACCTGGTCAAATTTGGTCTAGAATGCACGTACCGGTGGTAGACGATGTGGTCAACGACCGCTCCCAACTTCCTGCCATCGAAACGGGAAAAAGTAGCAGACACACCGACCAGGGCAGGTACATCATGGGCATTGCTCCAATCGGACGCATGTCGCAGACCAAAGTGCTCCAGCACCTCGAGGTAGGTCGGACTGACGATGTGATGTGCCTCGTCGACGAGAACAAGCTTGAAGCGTGAGGGGTCAAACTTGTGCAGCCTGTCGCCGGATGTAATGCTCTGAACAGAGGCTATGGTGATGTCTGCTGCCCCTGAAGCGCTGTTGTTGCCCATTTCGATATCGACATGCTTGTCGGGATAGGTGAGAGCGCAGTGGCGGGCAGCTTGCTCGACGAGTTCACGTCGATGGGCGAGGATGAGCGTCTGGGTGGCATCGCCAGCGGCGGGTATGCGGTCGATCAAATGGGTGAAGATGACCGTCTTGCCCGAGCCGGTGGCCAAAGACACTCCGAGGCGCCTGTGACCTGCCTGTAGGTAGGAGAGGACGGCCTGGATGCACTCTTCTTGGTACTCGCGAAGCTGGACCTTGGGCGGCGCAGCGACGGTCGGTGGCGGCGGTGGAGGCGCGACTGGAGGCAGTCTGCGAGCTCTCGACGCATGTCTGGCGGGTGCGCGATACGAGACAAGGCATGGCTGCCTGTATTGTCTCAGCGCATGACGAAGAACGCGAAACATGAAGGTGTTGCTGAGAGAGGAGCGAACATGGCGCGAAGTCACCTGCGATACACGGCAGCCCGTAGATGACGATGACGCGCGCGAGGCGCCGCGGCTGCGATTGCAAGGGTCCAGCGGCCCCACCAAAAAGTGCATCGCGACTCCAACGATTGCGACTCTCCAGCATTCGCCATGACCGCCTGCGCCCCGCAAACACCGCCCCGCACCGAAGTGCTCCTGCCGACTGCCCGGCGACCACGTAGAGACCCGACCGCCCGGCCACCGCGATGAGCTCCGGCGACGAGTCAGCCTGCGAGCTGTCCAGCGACGACGACACGCCGCAACGGTCGCGCGCATCCTCCCGCCGACAGTCACACACACCGGACACCCCGCGCAAACGCCGCAGGATCGAGTCGGCCGACCCTTTCCGTGTGCGCAAGTACTATCTCGAGGGCAAGTACAGCGATGCCTACCGCGTTCTGTTCAATGAAGACGTCACCCAAGCGGCTGCTCGCTTTGGGCCAGAGGACGGCGTGCAGCATTATACGGCACAGTACGGCGCCTCGACATGGACTGGTCAGGAGCAGGCGACTCTGTTTGCAGCTCTCGCACGACTTGGCAAAGACGAGGTGGCAGGCATAGCGCAGGCTGTTGGCACCAAGAGCATCCCAGAGACGCGCGAGCTGCTGCTCCTGTTGAACGATGCGGCTGCCAACGAGGGAGACTTGGCCCTGACATTGCGCCATGTGCCTGCCGCCATGGAAGTCGGCCACGAGTGCAATGAGGAGCTCGAGGTCATGGCCGGAGCCCTGGCCTGGTATCAAGAACAGTGGGACGTGGCCGAGGAGCAGAAGCGCTACGGCGACTACTGGCTGGTCACTCCTGCCATTGCCGACGACATCGAGACAGCCATCAATGGCCCCTCTAGAGCTGCGTCGACTCGCCCAACTACACCCGCTGAGCCTGGCCCTCCCCGCACAGGCCCGGGCATCGCTGGGTACGTCCAAGTAGCCTCAGTGTAGCCTCGTACTAATCATCCGCAGCTCCTGCGAGCGCTGCAAGCACCATAAAATCCGCTGCGACCGAAAGACTCCCTGCACTAGCTGTGCTCGAATGAAGAAGAAAGTCGTCTGCGAATACAAGCCGTCCAAGCTAAACCATCGCTCAGTCGACCTTATGCCGCAGTCGCCCAAGGTCGAGGAACAGGCACCGCCAGTCATTGCTTTACAACCGCAAATACTACAGGAGATTCCACAAGCCAGCCTGCTCCATGCCGAGAACATGCTCTCGCTGTCCAGAGACCTTTTCATGAACCGCTCGCCTGACATTCCCTCGCCCTGGCCTCACTGGACAGCATATGCTTCTGAACAGGTGCCACAACCCTCGATGATGCGCACAGCATTCAATGACTTTTACACGCTTGCCGTCTCCGTGACCAAACGCCTAATGCAAACAGCCATGGCGCAGGCGACATCGCGCCTTCGTTCTCAGCGCCGTCGCACTAAGAAAGGGGTCATGCCGTTTGTAAAGACAAGGGATGTGCTTTCTGCAATCGACATTCTTGGCCTGAAGAGGAACGGACGTTCACGGTGGACAAGAGTCGCGAGACGCTGCAACGTGCGAGTTTTCGACGAGCAGCGGACCACGCGATTTAAAATCGAGCATCGTGAGGTATCATGGGACCAGGCAGAGCAAATCTTGGGACTTTATGATGCAGTATCTGGTCCACCGACCGCTGATCAAGTCCTCGACCAGCATGCTGCAGATCCTGGCTCTCATGGTGAAGCCGCCTTCGAACGCAGGGCAGCTCGTGCCGGAACGCCTCTGCCAATGGAGTATCTGTCTCTCTCAAAAACAGACTCGAATACTGCGCTTGAGAACACTGCAGAGTCTGCTTCTGTAGTGTCTGACGATGAAGAGGAAGAGGACTCACATCACGAAGAACAAGGCACAGAGCGGCCATCAAGTGCTGAGCCTGAGGATATAGTCCAAGACGGTGTGCCTGAGGAACAAACCCTGGAACAGTTCGATCAAGAGGCCAGTCGACGGGAAGAAGAAGCGCTCTGTAACCGCTTGGAGTTGATCATCGAAATGCAGAGGTCGCCCATCGTCGACAGATGTGAAGACGATCAACAGAAGCTCTTCAACAAAGTCGATGACTGGCGCAATTGGACGGATTATCACGCAACATGGGAAGAGCATGAGACTCCGGTACCAGCGTCAAGATTCGATGCTTACCAGAAGCTGCCCACGACGCCAGCTGCTTACCTTCTTGATGTTGACGCGGATGTGTTATCAGATGCGTCTGCAAACTCCCAGCAGTTTAGAAGAAAGCGGCGCGCTGCAGTCGAACTGCAAGCACAGAACCCTCACAGCTATGCAGCTATGCAGAGTGATGTCTACAGCCTTCACGAAAACGCTTCGAGATCTGATGAGTCCGAATCTGACGAGGAAGCTGATGCAAATGTTCCTACTCAGTCAACCGAGGACAGCGGTCTGGCGCAGAGCACCAGCTCACGAGACGCTATGGAGTGGGAGAGGTAGTGAGGCGCAGCATGTTGATATTCTCACTCGAAGTTCGGTTGCCTTTGCGACGTTCACTAACGTCGATGTTGACGTCGCGCCGCTATCTACCTTCCTATTCTGGCAATGGCCTACCTTGTCCGCACTATCAACCCACGATACGACCCAGTAAACTATAGGTGCCGAGCCGCGGAGCTTTTTTAGCGAACGAACGTTCAGGTAGAACTGAGGGGCGATCAAAACATCCTTGGGCAGTCTAACTGATAGAGGAAGTTCAGTACACACTTCGTCGGTGACGCATTGCCGAGACTAGGACTTCCCGTCTTGACGTGCCACTAACATCGGTATGTATTAAGCCCTGCGAAGTCACCTCTCCGTTCCTCAAGCCAGTCAATATCAATCACACCATGCATCTCCTTGCGGCTTTGCTAAGCACCATCATCGCCACGGCGTGCGCCCATGATGTGCACGAGCGTGACCTGCCACCGCCAGTGGCAGTAAATGATATGAGCTACACAAACTGTGCAAGTGCCGCATGGCCGCCATCAAACGTCGGTACCGAGTTGATACCGCAGAAGCCTACCGATGAGCTCAAGTCAATGCTGGATGAGCTCGATCCCAAGAACATCGAGGCCACCATCACCAAGCTGGTTTCATTCGGCACACGCCACACACTCAGCACCCAGAACAGCACTACACGCGGCATCGGCGCAGCGCGGGACTGGATTGAATCCGAGATGCGCAAGTACGCCAGCGCGAGCTCCGGCCGCATGACCGTCACCGTGCCCTCCTACACCCAAGGCGTTGCCTCACGCATCCCCTTCCCTGTCAAGATCAGCAATGTCCTCGCCACCATCGAAGGCAGCACGACTCCAGACAAGGTCTACATCATGACGGGCCACTATGACAGCCGCGTTACTGACGTGTTGAACTACGAAGCCGACTCGCCAGGCGCCAACGACGACGCCAGTGGTGTCGCCATCGCCATGGAACTGGCCCGCATCCTGTCCACACGCCAGCCACGTTCAACCATCATCCTGGGCGCCGTTGCTGGCGAAGAGCAAAATCTCTACGGCAGCACTTTCTTTGCGCAAACACTCCGCAACGCCTCCGTAAACGTCGAAGGCATGCTGAACTGCGACATCGTCGGCTCCTCCACCGGCGACCGCGGGCAGAAAGACCCCTTCACCATCCGCGCCTTCGCCCAGGGCCCGCCCGCGTCCGAGAACGCGACGATTGCTGCGCGCCGTCTGCAAATTGGCGGCGAGAACGACAGCCCTGCGAGAGAGTTGGCACGATTCTCCGCCGAGGTCGCTGCCAACTCGGCGACGGGAATGCACGTTGCTATCATCTACCGCCTCGACCGCTTCCTTCGCGGCGGCGACCACAGTCCGTTCCTAGCCAACGGATACCCAGCAATCAGGTATACGGAGCCGAATGAGAACTTTGCGCACCAGCACCAGGATGTGCGGACCGAGAACGGGACCGTTTTCGGTGACCTCATCGAGTTCGTCGACTTCGACTTCACCGCGCGAGTGGGCAAGGTCAATCTGGCTACGCTCTGGTCCATGAGCGAGGCACCCGGGTGGCCGAGGAACGTCACCGTCGACACGACTGTTCTTGACAACGACACGAGGCTGAAGTGGATCGTCTCTGATGACCCCAACGTCGCCAGCTACGAGGTCGTATGGAGGCCCATCATCAACCCGTTGTGGACACACATGCTCGACGTCGGGAAAGTAGGAAGCGTGGTTTTGCCGCTCAGTAAAGACAATGTTATCTTTGGCGTCAGGGCTGTGGGGGCAAACGGGTACAAGAGCCCGGCTACATACCCGTTCCCCGGCTAGTGGAGACCACGTGCCGGAGTGAGCAGACAGCATATAGACTTGAACACGTTTTATGCCTTGCAAACAGCGAAGATCTCGAAAGCTCTAGTGAGTGCTCATTTGTGGTCCGCGGTCGACCCACCATGATCTAAACACTAGGTATACGCAGTGAACGTCTAGTCCCGGTAAGCTCACGTACTACCTGACCTCACGCGTTCTTCTAATCTAACCTCAGAACCCTAACTACCAGTCTTCTGCTTTACTACTGCAAAAGCAGTCTTGACAGGGTTGTCACAGCAAGCCTTGTTGTTGAGCTTGTTGCTTATGGTATCAACGCTGGGGGCAATGCCTCTGTGGAGGTCACCTTAATAGGCGCGCATGTACTTAGGGCAGGCTTCCTTGATTACTAGAATAAACTAGTAAGCCTTACACTTGCTAGAAATAGTGCAGTCTATTACGTCAACCTCAGTAAGGCCAGCCTTAAACTAATCTGTGAAAACAGTAGTGCTAGCGCAGTGATAAGCGCGCAGGCTGAAGAACGAGCCCTAGAGCGTGCACTCTTCTGCAACACTGCTCTCCTTGAAGCAGACAGAGATTGAAGTGAATTGCTGGGGTGTCTTCATGTAGAAGATGCTCTTGTGGATGTTATGGGGCACAGAGTGTAGGATGGCAAGGCGCAGAGCGCCGTTGGCGCGCTTCTATTTGGACAGCGCAGCTGTTTCCCGTGCGTGTCGTGCTCGCTCGTATTCGTTGTCACGGCGGACGCGCAGGACAGCGATATCAAGGGTCTCTTGATCTGGGATCGCTGCTGTGCTGTAGGTAGTAGGCTCTGTAAGTTCAGTGGCTAGTAGTACGGTTGGCTCAGTCCACTTTCTGTCAAGCAAGTTGTTGCAGGTGTTGACTTAGGCGTACAGCTTTAGCGCTGCTTTGTATTACCAGAAGTTGCTCCTAGACTTGTTAAGCTAGGGCATTTAGGCTTTGCTATACTATGTTAACACAGTAGCTGTTGTTAGTTAATGTTGATAGTGCACGTTCTGCAAGATTAGACAGTGAGTTGCACTTGTAGAAACACAACTCTAACAACGTTGCAACCTCCCAATACGTTGCTAGCTGTCAGATTCAAAGGATTCTTGATGATTGTTGTGATGGTCCTCTGGTCTAATCTATGAACAGGTGGCTTTTATCCCCCACTCTTGTGCGACTAGCTGCGCGGTCCATTCCATGCAGTTCTATTCTAGCCAAGCCAGTGTTACAGCCAGCCTTGCTTATGTCTAATACACCCCCTTAGCTTAGATCGCGATCTAAGCTAGATTGTGTACTAGCGCTAATTACAGCGTCTTGCAGGGTAACTACCCTAGCGCCTCTTAGAGCCTGTTTAGTAATAGTTCTTAATAATTTAGCCTGTCTATTTGCTCTAACGTGGTTTATCACCAAGCCGCCAGGTATCACCAAACCGCCACCCCTCACCAACTTTTTTAGAGTTACTAACTATTACACAACTATTACGCTTAACCACAACACTGCACTAATACTTATAATTGCTACAATTACTCTTTAGAAGTAGCGCTATTATCTGTATCTAATATTTCTGCAGTGCAGGTGCGCAAATTGTGGCTAGTCTTGCTGCAACGTCTGCAGTGCCTCTCTTTGCGCACCTTCTTCCTAGACTGTTTAGATGCCTTACTACCACTACTGTCCTTCTTAGCTATTATATCCTGTACCTCACTAACTATAAGAGCCTCCTCTATCTAGATATACTTTCTTTTGCAACCACGCTGTGCTGTTAGAGCCTTAATAGCCTTCTTTATACTATCTATTTCCCTTCTCTGTAACACGTTGGCATAGTCTATCCACGCAACCCCTCTAGTAAGCAAGTTAAGTAATTTTATAATAGGAGACAGGGGCGAATCTCTGTGCAATCGCATGCGCTTATAGATATACAATGTTTGTGACTTAACCTCCTTTGCGCTAGTTAGTGTTTTAGATTCCTATAGGGTAGTCTCTAGTGGTGGTAGTGTTAGCGTGCGAAGGACTACATCAAGCTTTAATAGCACTCGCTCTAGGTTAAAAGGAACTAGTCCTGCACCTCTAAAGCCTCTGTAGATATTATCTTTTATAATAGCCTTATAATAGGCTGTCTAGAAGCTAGTAAGGAAGAACTCTTTCTTAATTTATGTCTTTAAGTATTATAACTAGGTGTTAACCTTAATTAAGTACGCCCTCTTTAAGGGGCTAAAATAGGCTATGTTAAGCAGCTGCAATAGGTGCAATAAGTATAGGGGCATACACAAGGTAATAATCTTGTGTTCTGCATAGTATTCCTTAAACTCTGTAGAGTTGTAGCTCTTATAGCTATTAATAATAAGTAGATAGTAGGCACTAATAGTACGCTCTTTTATAGACGCGTTAAAGTGCTTTAACTACTCTAGACTAAGCTTGTTTATTATCTAGCTATTCTTGCTAGTTGCAATTACCTAATTACAAGGCAGATTAGGGTACTAGGTTGTAATTAGGACCTTGCCTTAGAAGATAATAAAGGGTAGGATAGCCTAGCCAGCAGCACAGACACTAATAATGATTGTAACCTACTCCTAATTACTAGGCTAGATATTCTTAGGGTTAGATTACTTCTCTAAGCCTGTAAACACTATCTTAGACCTAATTATACCTATTATAAACCTAGTCTTATTAAAGTTGTAGGTATCTCTATCTAGGATTCTGTACTTCTCCTTTGTATTCCTAACTAGCTTAAACTAGGGTGTTATAACGCGTGTATCTTTATTTAGGGCTTATTAATAATTATATAGTTAGCTATGTTAAAGCTTAATTTGTTAGGTACGCATGTTAAACCTGTTTACCTAGAGCTTACTAATAGGTCCTTCACCACGTGCAGTAAGCAGATTATTAGCTATATCTTGCACTATAGTCTTTGTTGCGCCTATTCCTTGCCTGTCTAGCTTAAGTATATAGTTAACTATTACCTCCTCTTCTACCTTTATTAGCTTCTTTAAATTGGCCTTGTAATTGCGTTATGCAAGCCCTCCTGCGCGTTAGTCTCTTAATATTAATTAGGGAACACTAAAGGCCTTAGACGCGTAATTTATACTATTAGGCATAGTAGCTTTTATAGCTTAGATAGCAAGGTATAGTGTACCTTTGTTATAGGGTAATTGCGTGTTGCGTTGTGATGGCATTGTAATAATTATCGTAACAGTCGCAAAATTGGCGAGGGGTGGCGGTTCGGTGATACCTGGCGGCTCGGTGATAAACCACGTTATAAGGTTAAGGTAATTAAGAAAGGCACCCTATTTGTTCTTAGGACATGCCTTAGTGAGGCCATTAGCAGGCATGCTAGTAGAGGGGATGTACTTAACTAAGATTGTTCCTTATTAGACCTCTTACTATAGCTAGTAGTTATAGATACCTACGTGTTAGAGCTTTATAAAAGCTTTAATGTCTCCTTAGTTACTAGGCTAATTATCTAAGTATTATTATAGTGTATTATAATAGTCTTTTATAGTAGATCTACTTAGAGCTCCCTAATTAGCCTTAAGATAAGGATAGCTTCCTTTGCTACCTATAATAGAGCTAGAAGCTCTGCCTTACTTGTAGAGGTAGTAACAGTGTCTTGTTTGCTTACTTTCTATGCAATTAGGCCTCTAAATAGTTGAATAGTGTAGCCTTGTAAGCTCTTGCAGTAAGAGGTGTTGTTAGCAAACAATGCATCGCTCGCAACCTTGAGGTGGAGGCCTCTGCCTTGGCGTAGGGCTAGGTTCTGCGTGCTTATGAGGTAGAGCAGCACTTAATCAGCTGCAGCGTAATGCGCTGGTCCTAAATTCAGCATATAGCGTGCTAGCCTAGAGGTTGCAAACGCTATATCTAGACGCGTTATGACTGCTGCAAATAGTAATAAGCTAACCTTGCGCTAGTACTTGTTAATTTCTAATAGTGTATCTAGACCTGTTTATAGTTCTAGCTTAATAGAGGACATTAGAGTATTATATTAAGTGTCTTTCTTATTACTTAATTAATTAATCTTCTTAATATAGGCAGCCTGTAAGAGGAGTATATAGTTTCTCCTATCCTAAGTGATTTCCACTCCTAGGAACTACATTGGGAAAAGTTTTTCTGTTGTCGAAATTAGGAAATCGTGGCATTATACTGTGGGCAATAGTAGGACTTGTAGGCCTATAATAGTTATTTAATGTGTATTCAATGTCTAGCTAATTTTAAGCTAACAGCTCTAACAGTCCTAATAGCTGTAATAGCTACAATAACTCCTAATCCTGCTATAATAGTAGCTCTGCTTAATAAACTATACTTTTATTATATTAATATACTACTAAGTCTCCTCTTTAAAATAAGCTATTAAATAATATTATAGGCCTATTAATAGAATAGTTATTAATTGTAGAAGGTTTTAAGCTTAATATTCCTTGCTAAGACACTAAGTTAAGATTCTTTGCTAGGGCTCTAGTAGCCTAAATATTAGAAAATACAAGAATATTATTAAAGAATAGTAGGTAAACTAAGAATTCTACGCCTAGGTCTGCCTATTCTGCAGTGTGTGCTTGTTAGCAGGTGCTTTGTTGTGTGCTGTTGCAGCTGCTACGTTGTGTGCTGTTGCAGCTGCAGCTGATACATTGTGTGCTGGCGCAGCTGCAGCTGCCATGGTGTGCTGTCGCAACTTCAAAACACAAACCTTTAACAAACAAACCTTCAACGCTCTATAACCTGTGTTGTAGTAGGCCTATAATAATAATTTTTTACTTATTTTAAAGCTATAATTTCGCTCTATCTATACATAAAATTTTGCAATTTTTAAATATTTAATACTAGTGCTAGCAGAACTAAGGGTAGCTATGCAACAATATTGTAACATTATTTTAAGTTTATTAAATATAGGCACTTAGTGTTTTAGCTATTAGCAATATTGGCGCAAAATTAGGGCTGTTAGGCGCAAATTAGGGCTGTTGGGGCTGTTGAATAGCTGTTGCACAACTATGCCACGACTGTCAGCA